ACAAGGAGTTGTTATCGCCTACTTTGGAAAAGGCTGATCTAGAGTGGTGATATTGCAATTTTGAACTTTCTTGACAATGAGTATTGTTACAACACACGCTCTTTATTCACTATCGAACGAGGCATTACCTCTAGTTTAAGATACCAAAGAGATTCTGAGGAAGAAAGAATTCTGGGATTAAAATTTACGACACATTATTAAACCAGAACTTTTAGATGATCTTGAATGGGGAAAACGGGTTTGCATTACCGAATACTCACGAAAGTTCTGTTCATACTGTTGTTATGTGGAGTACAAGTTCTAATCGCCTAGTATAACACATCTAGTCTAGCTATTGTTTATGTGGGATTTAGGTCTAGGTCGCACAGTATGTCTTGGGGTCTTTCATTGTTTGAGCTCTTTGAATTGTTTAAGTGAATGACCTCTGCGCTTTGTTTGGTTGTCAAGCTTAAAACTGCATGACGATCCGCCGAGTCAACCACCCAACCAAAGACTAAAGTGACTGTCCCATTTGCGTCATAATTGAAAGTATAGATTTTATATTCCGTCTGTTTAAAAAACAGGAAACGTAAGGAACTCAACACAACACTACCTGATTAACGAAAAAAAATTGTTTGTTTGTAGTGTATGATAACTGAACTTGAACAAATTGATAGCAATCTATGAGTATTTAAAAAAAAAGTTTCTTTTTTTGCCATTGTAGAAGCCAAAAGGAAAAAAATATGAACACAAATTTATATCATTAATAAAATACATATTTAATATCAAATCCGGGCCTTTTGCTTCCCGAGCAAAAAATCTATCAGGTTCGTAATTTAATTTTTATTTATGTGTTAAAATGAGACTTTATAGCTCAAATATCGATACTTCTATACTAATATATAAATCTACAGTGGTTTTTACGGATGTTCCGTTATAACTACTGAACCATGCATCCGATTGACTTGAAACTTGGTATCCACGTAAAAAATACATGTAGTTCATGGATAGGCTAATATTTTTATGAGTGTTGGACTCCCTACACCAGTTGCGGGGGCTTTAATGATGAGAATCTTTGTGGGGGTGAGAAATAATAATGTTAATTTTAAATGCCTAACGAAGCGAGCGGATATAGCTAGTTAACTCAAAATTTTAATCTTGATTTTTAGTTTTTAGTTTATTGTGATTTAGTTATCACTGTTGTATTTATTCGTAATGGCTGCTTTACGTTGATCTATTAACAGACTGGTAAACCTTAAAGCATATTATGCCTTAAATTTTATCCACTCAATATTAGTTACCACGCTTCTAATGTGAACGCGTAATTGCTTTCGGTTTCCGAGAACAAATCAAAAACGCTTCTAGTGTTTCGAAAGCAAACGCATGCAAGGCTTTTCTATTATTGGTGTTAATAATTGCATTGGAATCGCGCGGATACCGGACATCGACTGGTTATCCTTTGACACGATAATACTGAAAATCGTTCGAGCGAGACATAAAATTTACATAGTCTATGCGCAAAATTCATCCACATTTCAATGCACAAAGCAAATATTATATACATAAAGTTTAAATTATATTTGTAAGACAATTCTTCTCGTTAATTTCTAGTACCTGTTTAGCTAGCAAGGTCGTTTTTTATTAAACTTTTGTCTTTTGTGTGCAGTAATAAGTACGAAAGCAATTACAATATCGTCACTTCTAAAGACTCGATGATAAAATATTTTTTAAATTATGCGAAGTTTAAAATTACCACGTATTTATATTCTATTTAAAGCGGCTACTCCATCACACTTTCATATTTAGATCCAAATAAACTATCAGCCTTTTTCTTGTTTTTTTTAAATACCGGTCCTACCGATTCAGCCGTTTCTAGAACTGAAGGATTTATTTGAACAACGATTCTTTGTGAAAGTTAACGTTCTGAATGTAACAAAGTTTTAAATAGTTTCACAATTAATCAATTAATCGAAATTTGATATCCAATTTCTTCAGATTATTAATTTGATAAGCGCCGGTCCGCCGTCCACGGAAGTAAAGGATCCAACTGGATCATGTGTAGCTTATAGGGGGAAGTCCTGTTATTTTATTTTGTGCCAAAAAAATCGTTCGTTTTAGATTTATCATTCTTCGAAAAAAATTACTTGACAATGCCAGTACCGTGATTGATACAACATGAAAACGCAAAATTTTTTTAAATATCAATGCGACTCAAAATTCCGTACGATAATATTTAGAGAAACTGTAACATATTTTCAAGGCAAACGAGAATCTAAAGTTTGCGTAATAAACGAATGTTGTGTTCGATGAAACGTAACGCGTTCGTTCAAGAGTAATCGGCCAAGAGCAACACAACACATGCAAGGAATTTGTACGTACCTATATTATAATTTTATAAGAGCAATTTTATCATATCTTATCGTATACCTTTAAACGATCAATTCTTGTATATTAATATATACATACTTATCTAATCTAAATCTCGGAAACGGCTCCAACGATTTTCATAAAATTGAGTATACACGGGATTTCGGGGGCGATAAATCGATCTAGCTACGATTTATATTCAGAAAATGTTGTTTTATTCGTGTTTTCAATAATCAACTCTTCCCGATATCTATTAGCGAATAATGATACTATTTTTCTTAATTGAGGGAAACTAACCGCTTTAAAGACACAACAAATGGCGTTATCAAAAAAAAAACCGAGCAAAGCTCGGTCATCGTCTAGTTAAATTTTATAAAAGCAATTTTATTATTGCTTGGATGGGTGAGCGCGCACACGGTCCAGCTAGTATTAAGTAGTCACCGGGATGTATAGACATTACTACGTAACCTATTTTGAGATCATGAGGTCTATACTTTTCACCACATGGCTTTCGGTGTTCAAATCGAAATACAATAGAAACAGTCAGTATGGTGGAACCTACTCGTGCTCACAAGACGGCAGTAATTGCGCAAATTAACGTTTTTGCAGGCTTCAATTTTATTACACGATATTATTCCTTCATCGTGGAAGACATTCATGAACGTATACTTAGTACGTATGTATTATATAAGAAAAAAAATACCTGTCTGGGAGATTTGAGCGGCAACCGTGCAATGTTTTTTTTTACATGAGATCAAGGTTAGGTTAGGTTGGGCCCGCGATCTGCTCTCAACACCTGCAGATCGTTGAGACTCACATACCCCCCCTAGGCGCGGGGACCTCGTAGGAGGTTCGGCCCCCGGCCCGAAAAAAAAAAAAAAAAAGATTAGCGCATCGAAAAATGCAATGCATCAAGTATCATTTAATATCTGCTACCTATCCCTTCAAAAGAGAATGCTTCGTGGTATCAGTACTCAAGTAATGTTGATTTTCAGGATCCTTGTGTATCACCATTATCCGTTGGTAGCAACGGTAACTTGGCACACAATCTTTTCATTACATTTATATATTTCAAAGATCAATCAGTACTCTTTATTAGCAGTTAGTATGGAAATCAGAAAAAAATGTAGCCTTGATTTATTCCGTTGTTGCAAAACTGTGTAGTAAATTTTTCAAATGTGTTAAACCTGCGCTAGTTGGAAATGACCCGAGAAAAGTAGTTGCATATAATTAGAGTTTTCATTTTATTGAACGTGTTTATGAATTTATAGGTAAGACGTCACGTCCTGTCGTGGCGTCACCTTCGTCAAACAGAACGCGTACTTAGCGCGCGTCAGAGCGTTAAACTACCGCCACGCTATGACGCCGGGACGTGTTGTAGCGCTATAGTTATAGCGCTGGCGCTCTGTTTGACGGTAGGTTACCGTAGTAGTACAACACATCCCGGCGTCATAGCGTAGCGCTCTGACGCGCGCTAATTACGCGTTCTGTTTGACGAAGCCTTTAGTGATCACTGTTTATTTTAGAAATTCGCACGGTATTGACGAACAATGAAGGAACAGCGCGCTTAATAAAAAAAAAAAACTACGAAATGTATATAGTTTTTGTCATTGGTGTTGGTAATGAACGTCTCTCTCGTTTTTGTCGCGAAACGATTATGCGATACATTCAGCATTATACAGTGTGATTCCTTATAATGTGCACATATCGAAATGAGGGAATCTATGCTTCATTTTATAGAAAATGGTATATTTGAGTTATAAACATGAAAATTTTACTAATGGGTAGCTAATACGATGTACAATAACTTTAAGTAATACAAAAGTAGGTAAATGGGGCGTCTTTTTGAGAAATTTTAGGATTGTTGTAAAAATTGATGAAGAAATAACAGATTTATGCTAAAAAAACATGTTTATTTTCAATTGAGGGGAGGTTTTCTCCCACTTTTTTCATTTTATGAGGACGCCTAAACACTTCCAATCATTATGAAATTTGTTTAGCCGCGATAGATCATTTAGTTCAAAAGTGACACCGTTTTGTTTACACCGGAGTCACAGTAGTGAACAAACAATTAAAAAATTCCATAAAAAATAAAAAAAAACATATTTAGCATTTTTTTTATATTTTTCCCTCGGTAAGATTAAGCATAGATTCCCTCATTTCGATATGTGCACATTATAAAGAATCACACTGTATTATTATAATATAATGAGGCCGTCTTCAATCGGCTTGAATACATGTACTTAAACTTCATTAGATAACGTGCATTATTAGTGGTTATTTCTAAAGGTCATTCTTATTAAGTTTCATATTCTGTCTTCAGTATTTACTATTACGTAAACAATGTCAGAGTACCAAGTCCGATGAGATATATTTGTCATTGATGGGGAAACAAACTTAAGGCTCACCTCTTGGTAAATGATTACAACAGATACAAAACTTTGCCTGATCACGGGATATATTCGTAACATTTCCCGCAGGCGGTTCGATGTGTTTATGGACTTCTTCTGTAAATCGCTGGCTTATATAAAAAACAAACAAGTTATTGTTATTATAATATCAAAATCAGTCGCTTTCAGTTTCTGTTTTGTCCTGCTGGGCGAATGAGCACTTTTACCAGATCTGATTTGTATTTAGTTCAATTATTGTTTTAGGCTTGGAAGATACAGTGAAACTTGTAAAAGGCGTCGGTGGTAAATGCTACGGCTACGTAGTAGATCTGGCCAGCAGGGAAGACATCTACCGTGTCGCTAAAAACGTTGAAGAGCAGGTTGGGAAGGTAAGTTTATTTTTATTTTTTATTTTATTTCTTAGATGTGTGGACGAGCTCACAGCCCACCTGGTGTTCAGTGGTTACTGAAGCCCATAGACGTCTATGACGTATATGCGCCACCCATCTTAAGATATAAGTTCTAAGGTCTCAGTATAGTTACAACGGCTGCCCCACCCTTTAAACCGAAACGCATTTATGCTTCACGGCAGAAATAGCCAGGGTGATGGTACCTACTCATGCGGATTCACAAGAGGTCCTATTACCAGTATGTTTGAATTAGATATCAAATTACTTTAGTCAACACTACAAATTTTAACCGAATAGTACGTCTATATCGCAAAATTAACGTATGAACGTATTTTGTGTTTCAATTACAGTATGCTTCAGGACACGCGTTAAATGTGGCAACACAATAAATGTCTTCAGACAAGGCAAACGTATAGTTTTTAATTTTTTTTTAAAGTCTGGATTGTTCGTCAAATATCTGCACCGCCTTTGTTCAACGTTTCCGTATTAAAAATCACATCATATTGTCGCTTCTCAAATACGAATTTAAAATAAACGCATAAAAATATTATATTTATTCAGCATGAGCAGTTTAGTGATGTTAAAGTTTTTGTTTGAAAAGTAAAAAAAAATCAGGTTCAAGCCAAGGCTTATTATTATTTAGCGTTATTATTATTATTATTATTTAGCGTTTTTGGAAAATTCACTTCGCAAGCTACAACCACGAAAGTTCACTGACTCAATCATTAGTGTGGTTTTAAAATTGAATAAATATTTAATTCGTGAGATATATATATATATCAAATCTAAAACAGTTTTGCAGATTAAAAAGTCTAAGATTGACTTATGAATACAGCAATAATTGCATCAATAATAATTAATTTTATGCTTACAAAACGTCTTTTAAACATTATACGTTTCGAAATTAGGGGCTTAAGATGAGGTAAATGCATCTGATTTTCTGAAATCGCTCTAATATTAAAGATAAATATGTACTGGTGGTAGGACGTCTTTTGAGTCCGCACGGGTGGGTATCACCAACCTTTTTTTTTTTTTAACGCTGGGTAATCCATTTACGGATACCCGGTCCGGGGGGGGGTTACGAACCGGGTTATGTCGGACTCCGGCGCCTCCTGAGAGGAAGAGGGGGACGAGGAGGGCCAAGGTCCTCCACCTCCCCGAATTCCTCGCAAGAGACTACGCCTTGAAAAAGGCGCGCGAAGCACTTGCCCCGCAGAACGACTACCGACTAAACCCCATCGAGCTCCACCACACCGACTACACCAGACCTATGGTACCGCAGTGCGCGCCGATAGTCTGCCTTCTCCGGTACCCGTCCTAATGATAAGACGGGATTTCATCTCCGGGAAAATCCCGAAGGACGTCATTTCGGAAGATACACCGTGGGTGGCGCACAGGAGTTACCTTGCATCGCCCCACCACCGGACCGACAGTCGAGTACCGGGCGCTCCCGCACCCGCCATCTGATAGTCCCTACGGGAGCTGAGCGAGAGCTTCACGCCCGCGCCGGCCATCCCGCCTTCTGCACTGAGGAGCTGAAGAGAGATCCCACTCCCTTTCACGCTCCTCAGCCTCACTGGACGCCATTACCAGGTCACAAAACCTGGCCATGGCCTCCCACGAGCCCTGATCCTCTAACATGCGGGCGACGACAGCCCGCAGGTAGAGGTTTCTCCCCAGCACCGCGACGAGATCTCGTCGCGAGTGCTCCCAACGCGGGCATGTTTCGAGCGCGTGCTGCGCGACATCGTCCGGGTGCCCGCACTGGTGGCAGCCCGGATGTGGCTCTTTCTTGCAGACCTTCCACAGGTACCTCCCGAAACAGCCATGTCCCGAGAGGACCTGCGCAAGGTGAAAGGAGAGTACGCCGTGACGCCGATCCGACCATGCCTCCAGCACGGGCACCAGGGCCTCGAGGGTGCGCCGGCGGGTGGCCGAAGTTTGGCTAAGTTCCTTCAGCAATCGCTCTCTCCACTTAGCGTATGCTACATGACGCACAGCACGCTTCCATCGACCGACAGCCGACGGGCCGGGCGACCGTCCCCGACTCAAGGCTTGCGCCTTACGCCGATATACCGCAGCCATGATTTCGGCCTCGAGGTCCCAGGGTAGGGATCCGGTGAGAGCGCAGGCCACATCTTGAGAGATGGTGCGATACCCCCTGATGACCCTCACCGCGAGCGCCCGCTGAGCTCTGAGCAGCAGAGCCGCGTTTCTCGCGGAGAGTGCGGGCGACCACACGGAAGCACCGTACAGGGCCATACTGCGCACCACCCCAAGGTACAGTCGCTGAGTATCGGCGCTGCATCCTCCGACGTTGGGAAGAAGACCAGACCAGCGCACCTGCCGCCCCCATGAGCCTCGGAACCAGCGCTTTAAAATGGTGGTCGAATCTCCATTTGCTGTCCAGCACGAGGCCCAAATACTTGAGCTTCGGCTGGACAGCAATGGTGACACCCCCGACTACGAGATTCGCGCCTTGAGGTGGTCCTTTCCAAGCTGAGTGGAAGCACACTGCTTCGGATTTTTGGAGGGCCACCTCGAGGCCGAGTCTCTTTATTCGTCGGGTATCACCACCCTGCTGCCTATTCCTGCAGTGAAGCAGTAATGCGTTTCGGTTTGAAGAATGAGCAGCCGTTGTACTGTAAAAACTGAGACCTTAGTATTAATGTCTCAAGATACGTGGCGGTATTTACATTGTAGATGTCTATGGGCTCCGGTGACCACTTAACATCAGGTGAGCCGTGAGCTCGTCCACCTACATGAGCAATAAAAAAAAAGATGCTGCGTTTTACTCGTATAGAGCGATACAATCCCGTAAAATTTTGTGCAATAGTAATAGAATTTTAGTTTATTACGATTTTAGGACTGTTAGTCCATATTGGGTTCTAAGCATCTAATACAGCCTTTCCCAAAGTGAGCGATAACGCCCCCTTGTGGGCGCTGCAGGCCTAAAGGGGGGCGGTAAGAGACCCAGAAAAAAAAATGGGGGCGTTATTTAGAGGCTTAGGAGGCGATTTGTAATTTCATCTAGGAGGACCCTTAGACACTGGCTGAGCTCTCGCTATAGTGGTTTTTAAGTAGGTGAAAAAATGGGGGCCCTAAAAATAATTTATTCTCAAAGTGGGCAGTAGACAAAATAAGTTTTGGAACCCCTGATCTAATACAATAATTAAATTGTTTTTTTTCTTCAGGTAAACCTACTTATCAATAATGCAGGCGTCGTCTCAGGACATTACCTCCTGGAGACTCCAGACCATCTCATTCAAAGGACTTTCGATGTCAATATTCTTGCACATTTCTGGGTAAGACATTTTTTTTGGATTATTTAAAACAGCATAGGAAAATATCATTAAGACTGAATTTTAACTATGTATCTAAAAGGTAATATAAAAACTTACGTGACTACATCACTTACGTTTCTTTTTTTTAATTATGCTGATAGCCTTGAGAGGCTATATCAACGTTACCCTAGCGAGAGCTCTCGGGGCTCAGACCGCAGGTGTTGCTAGCACTGGCCCTAGCAAAAGCAGTGCTTCGCAGAATCTACCACCGGATCGGAAACGCGACCCACTGATTAGATCCGGCAAGAAACTCAGTGGGCTGTGCCTGTGGGTTAATTTATTCGCCGAGCCCTTCATCGCAAGCGACGGGTTCGGCGAGGAGCCTCATAATGATTATATTGCACTACGAAATATTTTGTTTTCCTTGAAATTATAGTACACTTTCAGAACAGTCCCACAGAATTACATCAATACTCTTTCTTTAAATTCACTGGTGGTAGGGCCTCTTGTGAGTCCGCGCGGGTAGGTACCACCACCCTGCCTATTTCTACCGTGAAGCAGCAATGCGTTTCGGTTTGAAGGGTGGGGCAGCCGTTGTAGCCCTACATACTTGAGACCTTAGAACTTATATCTCAAGATGGGTGGCGCATTTACGTCGTAGATGTTTATGGGCTCCAGTAACCACTTAGCACCAGGTGGGCTGTGTGAGCTCGTACACCCATCTAAGCAATAAAAAAAACTTAGTTAGTGTTTAAAAAAAACAAGCCCCCTTAATTTCTTTCGCCGGTTCTTCTCAGATTTTCTCGGAACCGGTGGTAGAACTCTCTGATATTAAACGAGTGTGTGATATGCAATAAAATAAATTATATTAAATTTAATTCACACGTTGCTAGAAGAACAAACCTGGGAGCGGTTTCTTTCGATTCCGTTGAATACAATATTATGAACTCAACAGCTGCGATCTATCGCATGTGACTAATAAAAAACTCTTTCGAAATGATTCTCATACACGTGCACTTACATTTTTTGGTTATTATGTATAAGATTTTTGGTTTTTGTTTTCGTAGTTCTCATAATAATTAACGTATCAAATTCGTTGTAACTAAAATCTTAATAAATAACATTGCTTTGTTCATGTTTTTAAGTTTAACATGCTACTTTACAATTGAAATTTATAATGGAACGAAAATTAAAAGAATCAAATCCGTTACTCTTAATGAACAATAGAATAATAATTTTCTCATGATTTCTGCTAATGATAGTAACTGTTGCATTAGTATGTTTTATTATTAGCATCTCAATATGTAACTGAACCATTTCATTGATTAGACGGTGAAAGCCTTCCTGCCAACCATGATCAGTCAAAATGATGGTCATATAGTGACCATCGCTTCAATGGCCGGACACGTGGGTGTTGCCAAGCTGGTCGACTACTGTTCGTCAAAAGCTGCTGCCTGCGGCTTCGACGAGGCTCTCAGGGTCGAGCTAGAGACGAAAGGCGTTAAGGGTGTGAAGACTTCGCTGATATGTCCGTACTTCATTCGATCGACGGGCATGTTTGAAGAGGTTAACTCAAGGTGTGTATCGGTTTCAATTATTGCTACGTCAAAAAAAAAAAAACCCAGTAATACCTGTAAAAAACTTATTTACAAGTACGTGGTCTAAACAACCCAACTTCTCAAACGTATTGTGAACGCGATTGGGTATTGGGGTATTGGGGTATTAAACTGAAAAATTTGGTCGCCGTGGTCGAAACCGGCTTGGAACCATGATGATTGGGGTATTGGGTATTGGTTATTGGGTATTGGCGATTGGGTATTGTGAGCGCAAACGGTAGGTAATATCGTCCTGCTTAATTCTGCCACGCAGCATTCGTTCGTGCCAGTTTTCAACGCCAATTACTATTCAATACAATATGAAAATTTCAACCTTTTACCTTAGCCTCGAGATGACGATTCACGTTATTCCAATAGACCTGGTAATCACGTAACACCTCTAGGTATTCTGGGAATTTATTATCCCATCTAATGCTAACATAGTATATCAACCTTAGCCTTTAATATCGGAAGGTCAACATTTATGTCTGTTATTAAAAATTTAATTTTTATTATCCAATTAAATTGTTTATGTGTGCTGTGTGATGTATTAAATATCACGTTCACACTTTCGTCTATATCAAAGTTAGGTATAAATTATATTATTACGATGCGCAATTACTACTCAGACTACTTGAAAAATCAGACACTATTATTTTCTTTAATACGCTTTGAATCTTTTAATAGCTCGTATGTAATAAAAATACGTGGACTCACGTTTTGATAACTTGATCACGACATTGATAACTTAATAAATTGTTTTTCTACAGTCTCCGAGTCTGGTGGTAGGACCTCTTGTGAGTCCGCACGGGTAGGTACGGTTTCTCCATTTTCGAGAACACGTTCCGACACGAAGTAAACAAATGACTACATTCAGAAAAAAACAAAAGACAATCGAAGATTTTTTTCTTATTAATATTACAAATTATATGTAACCCTGCCAGTATTTTTTTTCTTACCAAGGAGTATGTCGTTGATGATGAATATGATTTTTTTAGCGTCGTATGGGTCACGGAACCACGATCATATCTACCTAACCGTGATGTCAAACGGGCATCCGAAGTCCTTTTTTTTCCCTACCTATGCTGATAGCCTTGAGAGGCTATTTCAGCTTGGCCTTGACGTGTAGGTAGTACTGGCCCTAGCTAGAGCAGTACTTCGCAGAATCTACCACCGGATCGGAAACGCGACCCACTGAGAAGACCGGGCGAGAAACTCAGTGGGCTTCCGAAGTTCAATTGATACAACGAGTTTGTCCAGAAGTTCAATTGATACAACGAGTGTTTTTTTTATTTTTTATTGCCCTTGTAGGCAGACGAGCATACGGCCCACCTGATGGTGAGTGGTTACCGTCGCCCATGGACTTCAGCAATGCCAGGGGCAGAGCCAAGCCGCTGCCTAATACTCTTAATACTCTCCACAAGCCTCGTTTGAAGAAGGACATGTCATAGCGCTCGAGAAACACCGAGTGTGTACATGGCGTGGTCTCTTGTCGAGTCTCTGCACGACGAGAGCGGACGAGAGGCACGCGAGACAACGAGACAGACAAGCGTGTACAGCCGGCATAATCCTTGAAAAAAATATTAAAATTTTCGTTTATTATATCGAGTAGTGAAAGACTGTTTGGTTTAAGCGGCATGTTTGCATTTTTACAGGAGAGCCATTTAAAGTTTAAAATTTGGAAAAAAATTAATGGAGTAAACTAAATTGAAGTTCAATTAAAAACAACAAATTATCGATACTAATACCAAATGAAACCTTTAATTACAGAGACAAATGTCGCTTAAAATAAACAGCCTCTCACCCCTCGATATGTACATACCTACGGACATATACAATACAACATACAAAATTATTTAAATTAAGTTATATTTTTTTCATTACAGGTTCGTGCCACAGCTGAATTCGAACGAGGTGGCGGATCGTGTTGTGCTCGCGATACGCACCAGTGAGCCTTTCGCTCTAATACCAGGTTTCTTTCGGGTGCTATTACCTTTCAAATGGTAAGTCTGTTACTTGTACCCGAGCTATATTTGAGAGCCGTCGGTCACTTAACCTACCTTAGAATTTGATTTCCACATACAATTTTGTTTTTCTATTTGACATTAGCATTTTCATAATGCTCTTTGTTGTATAATCTATCTATACTAATATATAAATCTACAGTGGTTTTTACGGATGTTCCGTTATAACTACTGAACCATGCATCCGATTGACTTGAAACTTGGTATCCATGTAGAAAATACATGTACTTAATGGATAGGCTTAATACTTACCTATATGAGTGTTGGATTCCCTAATAATAATGACAATAAATAATAATATTAACTTTAAATGCCCAGCGAAGCGGGCGAGTACGGCTGGTTTATATGTATATGAAAGACGATGGCTGTGTGTATATTCCCTGTAGACTTCAAAACGATGGACCGATTTTGATGAAAGGGCCGGTTTTCACTAGTATTAATATCATTAATAAACAACAATAGAATTTCATACAGGATTGCATAAGTCTTATTTTTAAGGCTATAAAGTAGGAATAATGGTCAGCTGTTAAAAGTTGATCTGCCGGGATACAGTTGCGTTGCCCGATCGGAGTTAATATTTGTAAAGATATTTAGTGTATCTGGCTCATTTATCAAGCAGCGTTCACGTTATGGCTCAGTGGATTCTAGTAATTACGAAGAAATCGTATTTATATATAATTATATAGTTTTTATGTTACTCGCAGAAATCAATGATTGTTTTAAAAAACTCCCGAACGCTATTCCATCTTTTTAAAACAAATATCTCATTTCTTTCTTAGTCAGATTCTAGATTAACCAAATGTTTATTTCATTATAAGGTTTTGTTGTAATAGTAGAATAAGTTTGGATTTATTTACATTTCTGAAGCCTGATTTATCGGTTATACGGAAAACTAAATATTATTTAAAAAATAAATAATTAAAATAACATTACGCTGCTTTGTTCGAAAAGCTATCTGATTTTAATTATCTTTATCTATATATATAAAAATGAATTGCTGTTCGTTAGTCTCGCTAAAACTCGAAAACGGCTGGACCGATTTGGCTAATTTTGGTCTGAATTATTTGTGGAAGTCCAGAGAAGGTTTAAAAAGTAGATAAATATGAAAATGCTCGGAATTAAATAAAAATAACCATTTTGTTTCCCTTTGATGTGTCCCCTGTCGAACGGATTCCTTTTGTTTGTTTTAAGTTTATTTTATACAAAAGTTTAGGTCTTTTATTTATCAATTGAGGCAATACGAAGTCTGCAGGATCAGCTAGTCTACATATAATTATTACTTCATAACGCAATACGTGAACGAAGTAATTTTGGCACACATAAAGTTTGATTATTAACACTAAACCCAAATTTGACCTACCAGCGGCATTCCCGACATCAACTAAAAAGAACGAACCGTGGGAGTATTTTGTAATCGCTTCACATTAACCTCAAGTTACGTTCTAAATTCTTTTAATATTTGACCCGCTTTTGAGTTCTCGTGGTCAAGTGAAAACAAAATGGCTTTTAAGGACCGTTTTTTTTTGTTCTTCCTACTTGCCGACAAACGCTTCAAATATTTTAGCTGTATTTTTTTTGTGGTGAACCACAAAACCGCTAATGGAACAATTTAATTATAGGTCTACTGACAATAAGTCTAGGATTTTAGTTAATAATATCAAGTAATTTGGTTAATACCAAAGTAAAGAGCTATTTTCGTAATAATAGTTACTATTGTTATTTTGCATAGAATAATCGATACTAAAAACGTATTTACAATTTTTAACGACCATTCACTTATTAAGGTTTTGTTAATTTTTACATTCACTTGTTTCTTAGTATTTTATATAAGGCTCAATATATAGAACATATATATATTTAAATATCGTCTTCTTTATGTTCGTTTATTTGGTGCAAAGCCAAATAAAATTTAATGTGAAAGCCAAATTAAATAGGTACCTATTTTGATTACCTGTTAGAAACGGAACTAAGAATAATATACAAATGTATAGCCAACGATTCTGTTTAGGTGAAGCTTCACGTTTAACACAAAATTAATTATGAAATTTTAATGATGCTCATTAATCACATTATCTAAAGCCTTGAAAACAAACGCAGTCTAAACAGAAAATTCACTAAGTTTAATTTTTTTCGTATAAACCAACAAGAAATTTAAATATTTGACATCGTATTTAACGTACATTTTCGGGAAACAGATGTGTGGTTTATTTGTGAAGGTTGATGTCACCGAACAACGCCATTAAAAAAAATCCGACGCGAAGATTGCATAGAATTTGCATATCTATATATTAATACGTGAAGCAAAAACTTTGTATCCCTTTTTACGAAAATTGCACGGACGGAAGAGTATTAAATTTTCCACACTTGTAGAGAATATAGAGAAGAAGTGCACAATGCTAATATTTTTTAAAATAATGCATAAAAGATACTTCAAATCAATAAAGAAAACATTACACACACCACATACGATGTATTTGACGCACACACGCATGCATACTATTTATTATTGTCAAACTTTTGTTCTTGACGTCTGTAGTCAAATTGAGAAAAGATTAAATATTGTTTGTCTTTGTTAATATTTTTTATAGTATAGTCTTGGCGAAATTTGTGATTATAGAAGTATAAAATACAATCATAATAGTGTACAAACTTACAATTCCAATTAATTATAGTCGAATTTCGACTGCTGCGGGACCTCTAGTTAGTTTAAAAAGTTTATAGTCTTCGCGAGGTTGAAAAATATACCCATGTTTTTTTAAGTGTATATATGGGTGAACGAACCAGGAGTTAATCGGTTACCGGAGCATATTGGCCACAGCCCTAATGTTCTTCACATCGTTTTTGTATAAAGTTTTCTCTGCGTAGCCTATATCGATACGGGCTAATGTTGAAATCCATATCTTAATAAACTCAAAACATTCCACACGGCTTAATAATAGTGAGGGACATAGAACCAAAACGAGGGAGGGGAGACTCGATTTGATTTTGTACGAATTTAACATAATAAATATAAATAATATACTAGCGACCCGCCCTCGCTTCGCTTTGGAAACTGTAATTTATTAATGATTTCTCCACTATTTAATGGATGATAATATACATATAAAACCTTCCTCTTCAATCACTCTATCTATTAAAAAAAACCGCATCAAAATCCGTTGCGTAGTTTTAAAGATTTAAGCGTACATAGGGATATAGGGACAGAGAAAGCAACTTTGTTTTATACAGTTTTATACTATTATATGTAGTGATTCGTGGTAGTAGGGAGGTGCGGGATCGAGACCCATACAAACTATGGATGATCGCCTTTCTAACTTGTATACAGTATTTTTTTTATTTATTTTTTAATTACAATACGTTGAACAGTGTATCAAGTCTCATACCCACGATCTATTAAACTAAGGCAATATACCCGTACTTATTCTTTACTGGTGGTAGGACCTCTTGTGAGTCCGCGCGTGTAGGTACCACCACCCCGCCTATTTCTGCCGTGAAGCAGTAATGTGTTTCGGTTTGAAGAGTGGGGCACGGCTGCTGTAACTATACTCGAGACCTTAGAACTTATATCTCAAGGTGGATGGCGCATTTACGTTGTAGATGTCTATGGGCTCCAGTAACCACTTAACACCAGGTGGGCTGTGAGCTCGTCCACCCATCTAAGCAATAAAAAATAAAATAAAATAAAACCTCGTTAATTACGTTACAGGATAGTACCTTGGCCGTGTATATCAGAGCTGATCCGCGGTCTGGTGCCGGACGCGGTCCCTGTGGCCCCTAACGCGCGTATAGAGACACCATCCTCAGCACCAAAAATAGACATGAAAACGGACTCCAGGCCTATGTCACTGCTGCCCCCAGCAAGACACGACCGCCAGGTTTGAATATTTACAGGGTACGTTATGATTACTAAGAGTACGTAACGGTAGGCAGCGGCTTGGCTCTGCACTTGGTATTGCTGAAGTCCATGGGCAACGGTAACCACTCGCCATCAGGTGGACCGTATGCTCGTCTACCTACAAGGGCAATAAAATAAAGATTTATTATTAAATTTTGTTGAAACAAATCTGAATTTATTCTTGTCATTCAAAATAGTTCATGGTGCTAAATAGGTTTTCAATATACAGTATGGATCTTGGAATATGTTTCTCGTATATAAATTGCAGGTTATATGTTTTATTAAGGTATATTTTAATTTGTCAAAAGTATACCGTTACAATAAAAACAAATAATGACGTTGATAGTTAAAATAGAATTTTTAAATTAAAACGAATAAATAAGAGATTTGAAACAAAACAAAAATTACAATACTTATACGGAACGCAAAATACGAATAAAATATAATTCATTAAATAATTATGTTTTTCTCTTAGCAATCATCTAAAGGACCAACGTATCTTTTTTTCTTTACCTAAACATTTATTTACGTCAGAAACGACTATAATAAAAAATAAATAATTTGCGTTCGTATTTTATTGTGGCAATCAAACTTAAGAATGAATTATCCCGCAATTTAGCTATAAAGTGTTGTTTATGTGCGTCAAATAAAAATGTAATGGCAATAAAAAAAATGTAATGTCCATTTTTAACCGTCGTGCGATTAGCATTATTTTTAGTACTTAAATGCATTGTTAGGAAATTTACGTGTTTTTATGAGACGTTCACATTACGTATCTCATATAAACAGTATTTTTTGTCGTTCACAACTTTGTAGATATTAACTTAACTTCTAAAAATGGGTTTAAGTCAGACAACTTTTACCGATTCTTGAAGGCTTCGATTAGGAAGCAAGATGATTGAAACTCTCTCGAAATATGATTACAATCTAATTTCGACTTTATTTCTCAACGGGGATGACGGAATTCCCGCTGTCCATGGATTCCGGGAACCAATTATCAAGATACGCTCGTTAGTCCATCAACAATATTGAAAAACGTTTAACAACTATTCATAATTGCTTTATAAAATATATTTATTATGATACTAACTGATTTCAAGTTAGTTATTAGTAGAATTATATTTGAATGTTTTTTCGACCGTTACAATTCAATGCGCGGTAGAATTTCTTCAGAACCTTTTGTTTGAGCCAGATAACTTGACGTCGAACTTGCGCTACGTAGATCTTAAGGAATTTATAGGAGTCACATAACTTAGAATATGTTCTTTTTGTAATCGACCTCCTCAAATTCACATGGCAACATTCTTCAGATACAATGCATTTAAAGTTTCAAAATATTTGTTATAAAAAGCCTATTTTTTTCTACGTTGCTTCGACATTAATGAAATTTTGAAATTAAATTATACATTAATGAGATTATATTTAAAGTTTCTATTAGAATTATATTTATTTACATTGAAAAACTAAGCTTACAATGGAGGTTCGCAAAAGAAAATCTGCAATCTTAATGGTCTACGGACAAGCATTGCCATGTCGAAAAATGTAACGTCACCGCATTATAATTTTTTTTTTAAATGCCATGTGTCATGTTTATTTGATATGGCTGTTTACCATTGGACTACTGTGATCTGTTTAATGATTGCTTTTGTATGTAAACATCATCACATGTAACGTGTACTTAGAGATTGGATTTATTTTTAAATTTGGAACGGGAGAGGGTGTTACTTGTATTTGCTCAAAAAGGATTTTGTTTTATTGTATATACTAGAATAATTCGTAATAAGATCTTCGAAGAAGAGAAACGATTTGCTGACACAACGGTTCTGTGTAATGAATCATTTTAGTTAACTATAAAATGTGAATGCAATTTTGATTTTTTATTTAAAATGTTACACTCGATGACTACAGAATTCTGAAGTGTCTCAGAAATCTAATAAAATAAATTATAAAAATTTTCGAATGACAAATTAGAAATAGTGAGTCGTTTCAAGTTCTTCTGTGAAATTAAGTTACCTCCTTTCGTATTTGTGCTAACTAATAAGTTAAATGTATTTTTACTTTTAGTTCGGGTTTTCGAGATGAACATTTTTAACGTAGCATTTTTAATAATTATCGTTTTTATTTTATAAGAATTAAAAACACGTAATTGTTTTAAATGCTAATAAAATTTAAAGAGTGTTGTTTTGCGTTTTATTTTATTTATTAAATAACCTAAATCTTATAAAAGTACCCTACATAATATGTTTTAGTATAACAATACCATAGTTAACAAGAGATTAATATTAGTTAAAATGTAATGGTAAATATATATTCAATTTACATTGTAATTTAGACCCTGGTTGTTTTTTTGAAATTAAGTACGGAAAAGACGACTAGTTTTTTTTTTTCTCTTATAGGAAAAATAAAGTACAATCTAAGAAATTATGACAAAATACAATAGTTGTTTTTTTAATGCTCATTCAACGTAAAATATAAGATCGCAAATTAAATCTAAAATAACATCGCACCTAAGATATACAAATTTAGTGCAATTCTTCTCTTACTTCGTATCTTCATTGCGATGATACCTCTCAAACCGATTTTTCTCAGACCAATAATTTTAGTCTTTCTTGAAAATTTCGCAGTCCTTGGCACTAGCCCCTAGTTACTCGAATGTAAATTCAACACTGCAAGCAATTCACTCAACAGTAAGCACTGTTGTACACTTCCATGGGATTAATATATGATTTTAATCTAATATTCAATAGATATTTGGTAAACGTGTAGATATATACATGAAAATATAAGTTTATGTATTGGCATTAGTATAATTTTAACTCTTCTACACTCATCAAATTGTTATTCTTGCCACGGCTCTCCTAAGGAGATTTCATAGAACTAAACATTGCTTTTGTACTTAGATTTCCTATTACTCTGTATTCTCTTTGCGTTACTATAAATATTTAAATAATTATAGCACAAGTAACAAAAATCTTAATTATATTTTTTGGTATCAGTATACTTACATTATGTAAAACTTATAAAATTGATTAGTTACAAAAAGCAAATTATTAATCAGCTAAGAATGTAGATTTTAACGTCAATACCATATTTTGTTTTACTTAAACTAAAGAGACTACTTTTTGCTTAAATTGTTTCACTGGAAAAAAGTTCATTATATGTAGAGTAAGGAATACCCTACAAAAAGGGTATAAAACCGGCGCGCAGCTCTGTCACCCGCGCATTTGTCGGTTGACATTCGTGGAGAGAACATCATTCAAAGACTTTAAGTGTTAATTTAGGAAACACGAATCTTATAATAATATTGAAGGTACAGTGCCTATAAATAGCAACGCCTTTGCTCGAAACATTCATTCTATCGGCGGCGTTCGTGAGAGAAGGTAGTCGTGGACATGGTGTGCGTGAGTCATTGTTTTAAGTCTCTGTAAATATGTGCTTAAAGACAAGATAATATCAAAGTGTTTATTCTGTATTCTGGTTGTTTGGTGATTTATGTTGAATTAGTCAATTAATTAGAGTTTGAGAGTAACAAAAGTTGTAGTGTGCTAATCATTGTTATTTTTTTTAAATGGATTTTCTTCTGAATCCTAAATTCAGAAGTGGGATAAATAACTCAAAGCCCACAGACAACAGGTGATTCACAACTATCCGCACTATATTTTGTTACTTTCATTATCGTGTTTCTGTGTGCGTACGTGTCTAAATAATGCCGCGAAGTACGCCACGTGGACGTTCTCGGCATCGTCAAAATGGCTCGCGTAATCGAGACGTGTCCCGTTCTCGTGACAATCGTTTGCGGGACCGCTGCCGCCATAGATTGCATTCGTATTCGCGTGATACTCGCTCGAGTAGCAACGATCGTGTGTTGCACGATAGGTCGCGCGATTCACGCAGCATTTCATATCGATCTAGTCTACTAGTCGATCACGCAGCGCGTTATATCGTTTGAAACGAAGTCACCGTAGCTCGCGACGCTCGCGTCGATCTCGTTATGTATCTCGAGCCCGCGATCACTCACGAAGGGCGTCGCGTCGTGGTGTTCATATCAATCATGATCGTGACTTAAATACGCACACCCCTCCGCTGCGATTGCAAACCCCGACACCAGGTGTGTTGGAGACCATTCCCCTTGCCACACACGCTACACTTAATAAATCTAGCCTCGCGGACCGGGGACGTGTCGAACTCAGCCCTGCGCGATTCAGACCCCCCTCGCTTGCTCAAGCGATTATCGATGCCGTAAAGGCAGTCCAGCCTATAAGATCGCAGAATTATTTTGTATTAAACTTCGGCCCTACTATTAACAATATCGAGACGTGGTACGAGGTGGACCGTGTAAAGGATTTAAACGGGTGGACCGACCATGAGACTCTGTCGCGTTTGGCAAATTGCTTAAAGAGAAACGCAAAGGTGTGGCTAGGTGAATTGATTACTTCTGATAGAACTTGGAACTTTAATATTGATACGGGGCATAATGGGCCCTCAGGTTAGAGCCGCGAACGCTAATCTACTCACGATTTGATTTCATTTTTGGAGGTCAGGTTAGGCAGAGTCCTTGTAGGGTTCGGGCACTAGTTGTCACCAGTGACGCGTAATATCAAACAAGTAGACAGGACTGTGTTGGCAAAATGGTCAATTGAACTTTTGAGATTACAGCTCATTCTGAACATCACAAAACACAAGACAACAGATATCTGCCCTGCAGCTTCTGGTGGGAACAGACGCCACCACACCTGTGGTGAGGACGCTAATTAGTGATGTCATGACTGAGGTGTCTCGGAGCCGTGAAGTTAGTCGAGAACTAGGTCGAGCTCCCAGTCTATAGGAAATCTAGATCCGGGAATCCGTGGACCTTGAGGATGGTGCCTCACGGGCATTGCCGCCAGCTCGGGCCCGTCGATGGTTCCTGCGGCAGTAGCACGCAAGCAACGTGCCGGTAGCTGCGTAATATCGGTGGGGACTACGGAAAGACAACGCAGGCTGCGGCACAGCACATGGTGCCCTAGCGTGGCGAGTGGTCTCCAGAGGCTTGTGCTGCATACTTCGATTTTGAGCGTAGTGGCTCAGTAAGAAGTGTACCCGGTAGTAAAGGAAAATCGACTCAAGCGGTCGCCCAGTACATGGTACCGTGGAAAGGTGAATGGTGCCCCGAGACTTGTGCCATATTTTTCGATGGTAAGACTCTCAATTTATACAATTGCTTCGCTTCGTTGTTGTGTTGGTGACTGTTTCCAGAAACAGTAGTGGTACGTGACGGCCGAGGCCCGCAGAGGCGTCTCGCTGGTCCGCTGCTTGGTGGGTGTGCCTGCTGGTGGCGCCCCTACTGATCAGCACCTGGCGTTAGTCGCCTCTGACGTTTGTCGTCATTTG